AGAGCGTGGGAAGAAACATCATCGTAGGCGTTAAAAATGGAATATAAGAATTAGAAAAAAAAAAAAAAAAGAATTAGAAAATCATTGCCGTGCCTTTATATTGGAATCAGACAAGTTGTGGACGGTTTTGATTTGATAAAATTTTTAAACAGCTACTGACAATGATGTTTTATACACTGAGGTAAGGGAGATTGCCTGCAAAGCAGAACACCTTCTTTTGGTGAATCCATATTCTCTTCTGCTACAGAACTTCCTTTAGATTTCTCTTACCAAGACACATTTTTTTAAATTGAAAAAGTAGATTTAACAGGTATATTTTTTTCCTTTGGCTAAATTCAAAACATAATAAGTGAGTATAATTTTTTCTTTTTTTAAATTTAAGTATAGTTGCTATACAGTATTATATAAGTTACAGATATACAATATAGGGATTCACAACATTTAAAGGTTGTACTCCATTTATAGTTATAAAATATTGGCTATATTCCCCATGTTGTACAATATAAGCTACAAGAATATACTGCGCAACGCAGGGACCATTATATTAACATATAGATTTTAAACACAGCTTGTGTACCACCAATGACTACTTGACAGGCAAAGACAGCCTCTGTTTAAGATATTCTGGTCACTCAGAAAGACTTAACATGAATACAGAATATATGAGTTCCAACCATTTTTCTAAATGTAGGGTTCAGAACCATGGTGGTAGCTGTACAGAATGTCAAATGACAGTCTTTATATAGAATCTATTTTCTACTTACCTACTGTAATTGCTACTGCTTATTGCTTTCACCTGGCCATCACAAAAAAACTTAAGAATTGATTGCTACTCCGGGGTGCAAGACTCAGCATGCAACCAACCCAGTAACTTTTGGCGCCACTGCTAAAATTAAAACTAATTTAATTGGTTGGTTTAAAATCTGGAAGGGATTTCAGAAACCATCTGGAGTTCTAGACTAGCTTCTTCAGTTTATATGTACTACCTATACTGAGTCTCAAACAGGCGACATACCTTCTTGAAGCTCACTCATCCAATTAATGGCAGAACTGTGGCTGGAACTGAGGTTTCTGGATTCCTGGTCTAGCCCTCTTCCTACAAACACTGTTTTACCACTTCAAATTTTGTAAGTCTGAAGTATGGTAGACGTAACATGGACTTTGAAACTAGAGAGACACAATTTCAAAGTCCGATTTAGCATTTAACAAGTCCTTTATTGTCTCTGGGTGGGAGATTCCTTAACCTGAAAATAAGGCTAAAATGGGGGTGATGGCATCTACCCAGAAGGTTAGAAATGATATAGGTCAAGTATCTAGCACATTTCCTGGGACACGGAGGTGACCTGCGAATAGTAGTGGTGACAGGGAAGGCTATTATAATTATTTTGACACTTTGAAAAGATTAGGGATGTACCTTAATCAAACTTAGTACCTTCCATTAAACAGGGGATCTGCCATCATTTACTTACACTTTTTGGAAATTATTTCTGTTTTAAGCAGAAAGTGTTTTATAAGTTTAACCACTTGTGGAGTAAAGCAGAATGTGTTGATATTTATCCTAATATTAACTGTTTCGATCTTCAAATGATACTTTTAGTTTTAATATTTCAAGATTTGATGTAAACGTCTAAGGTTATCCTATCTATGGTCTTTCAGATAATACAGATTTTAGTCATCCCCCTCTTTAACACATTGAAGAAATAAGAAAACTTCCATTAGGGCCTAGAACAATAATAATAGCAGTGCAGGATGCTTAGGAAGCAGAGTCATGGTGTACGGCTGGGTGGGGGGCTGCACGGGGACAACAGTAGAAGGTACCACTCTCCTCTGCAGGTGCATCCCCAACACGATGGATGCAAATCCAGGGCAATGGTCATTTTTTTACCTTAGTCCCTGGTACAGTTATTTAATCAGAACCTAAGGTATTTAGCCACAAGTATCAGGAACCAGTAAGATGCTTAATGGATCAAAAAGTTTCTGAGGCCAGGAACACCACAAGTAATTAATTACTACTCTCAGGGCCAGTTTCACAGAATTTTCAGCAGTCTTTTTCACGTGTGAGGCATCATGCGGAGAAAAATTCTTTAGTAAAACACATGCATTCTTTTTTAAAGTGTTGGTGTTGGTGGCAGGATGGGTGTTTTGTAGAATAATTATATGGAAATACTGCTATGTGTTCTAGAACGAAGCGAACTTCATCTGGATAAAAAGCACATCTTTTTTAAGAAGTTAAGCTCTCCTATTTCATGACCAGAAACTGCAGGCCCTGTACTCTCATCTGGGTGGGTTAAAACCACTAAGTATTGACTCACTGCAGTGAGTGTGCGCGCGTCTGCGCGCAGGCGTGTGAGTGTGTGTGTGCGCATTTTCTTCTGCATCTGAAGGTGGGAGGCTCCATTTCCTTACTCAGGAAGCGAACTGGAATAGCAAAAGTTTGTCATGATGCCTGAATAAAACTGTTCATTCTTTTATCTGTAGTAGGCTAAGGTTGCTAACAGGATTTATAGGGTCATTACTTTCAACTGTTTCTTGACACCTAACAATATTATTTTAAGCTCCAGCCAAGTAATTATATAACGTCTCTCAGTAATGATCTGTTGCTTAAGATACACATTCTACTTTACCTTTCAACACATACTTGATAACCTCTCATTTACTAACTGTAATTGAGGCAAATTCAGTCTTGGCTAATTAGGGGCTCTCGGTACCCCTTCATATGTTATTCTTGGTGACATATCAATAGAATTACAGTTTACTTTTTATTTTTAATTACAGTAATAAAAATGTGCAACTTAAAAATATTAGAATGTTTAAGGACATTATAACTATTTTACAAATAACAAGTCCAATGTTCTACTGGGGATACACAGAATGACAAAACCTTCACAACCAAAACAGAATGGTGGCTTGTCAAGGGTTCCCCTTAGAAGCAAACTCACAGCCATGTCTGATGCTTAGCCATTGAAAGGAAAGTATACACCTATCACCAGGATAATCAAACTAGCACATCATTTTAATGTTGGCCTCCTGGCATCCACTTTAGTTAGCTCTGTTTGTTACTGCTGCCATACAAAAGGTCTTCAAAAGAAGTTTGGTGAATGAAGGGGAGTTTAAGTAGGAAATAACTTTATGAAGAAAGAAATTCTGGGACTTCCCTGGTGGTGCAGTGGTTAAGAATCCACCTGCCAATGCAGGGGACATTGGGTTCGAGCCCTGGTCCAGGAAGATACCACATGCCACGCAGCAACTAAGCCCGTGCGCCACAACTACTGAGCCTGCGCTCTAGAGGCCGCGAGCCACAACTACTGAGCTCGCGTGCAACAACTACTGAAGCCTGCGCACCTAGAGCCCGTGCTCCACAACAAGAGAAGCCACCACAATGAGAAGCCCGCGCACCGCAATGAAGAGTAGCCCCCGCTCACCGCAACTAGAGAAAGCCCGCGCACAGCAACGAAGACCCAACGCAGACAAAAATAAATAAATAAATAAATTTATAAAAAAAGAAAAGAAATTCTACCTCTGTTACAATCTGATGGCAAGCTTTGTAGTAAATAGGTCGCCAAGACAAAAAATTGAAGATGTTAAGAAACACACACACACACACACACACACACACACACACACACACACAGTGGCCTATTTCCAGAATGACTCTACCATTTTTTCACCATAGAAGATGTGCTTTAGCTATACCAAGAAGAAACATAATGGGAATAACATCAACTCAACTTTTCTGTTCAACATTTTTGAAAATTACCACATAAGCAAAAAAAGTAAAAGAGAACTTGGAAGTGAAACATATGCTTGTAAATTCAGAGCAATACCAAGTGGAAGCAGAAGTTGCTAATATGGTTTCAGTATTTTGTAAAGGAGCCAGCTGGATGGATGATAATTTTTCTACCCCTGCAGGGCATCAAAGCTTTTAGGAAATCATTCTTTTCACACATATTAACACTTAGCTTATTAAAACAGATGATACTTTTATTGTAAACAGCCTGGGTAGAGGCTAGAAACATAAAATATGAAAGATAAGGCTCATTTTGACCACCCAATCTGACAAACAGCAAACACTGACATGACAGACCATGGTGGAGATGATGACGTAGCAGGACCTTCTGTAACTGCCACAGCTGAAGTGTCACCATGAAGCCCGTGAACTGCTGTTATGAAAACATTTGCAGTAACTTGCATAATTAAATGAAACTGCCAGAAAAGCACTTCTAAAATGCAGAGAAGATGTACATAAATAAATACAGTTCAAAGCAAATACTCCATTTCAGAATCAGCACTGTAGTGAATTATGCCAAGTTATGTCACAAGCAAAGTACCATTTCCTTTGAACTGACTGCTGAATAATTACAAATGAGTGACAACATTGTTGTTGAAATGGACTGCTCTCTTAGTCTCTTTTACAGGTACTCGGTGAATGAAACTTGCTGATCAGGCCATCTAAAACCACAACCTCCCCATTCTAGGAGCTGCCATGCCTCAGTGAAGATCTTCACGAGACTACAGCAGTATTCTGTTAGCAAACGTCAGTACTGGAAAGCAAGATGAAAATGCACACTAACAGTACAGTGGCAGATATCTGCCTTTACTGCAGCTTATTTCTTTGTTTAAATGAAGAATATTATACTGACTTAAGAAAAACTTTTATAGTAGGGGCCAAATCCATTACAGTCTGATTCTGTTTATGGATTGCTGCAAAGGCAAGTGATGTAAACTATATACAACGGTAAACTGGATATCACCTTGCTTGCTAAAATTAACCTTAGAAGGATTTTGAGACTCTCACTCTAATAGTGACAGTTTTCAAGTACAGAAAAAAGCCAGTTAAGGCTTCTGTCAGCAGTCAAAGAAATAAAATGGGCAACTATATTAGCTGCGTAGAAGAAAAAGAAATAAAAAAAGAGAGTCTGCTTTGCAGACATACTATCAAAGTGTAACTGTTTCCTTCACAGTACAGCTGCAAAGCCAGCATGATTTGCAAGGGTACTTACATCAAACAACTTTTCTATATACATTTCCTCATTGACCTTTTCTCGAAGAATATCCTGGTTTTGCCGAACAAACATAATATAGGTGTCTGCCAGATCCATTCCTGGTTTCTGTTGTGAGGGAAAAGCACAGGGAATAAAACAATATCGCGTCTTGATTGTGAAAATGTTATTTAATCACCATCCTAGAAAATCATTCCTTATATCCTTTCAAAAGTTACAGTAGAAAAATATGCTTAAGATCAAATCAACAATGGACACCTTCAAATTCCATAATTAAAGTAAATGAACGTTTATTATTGAGGTCTATAACTTGAGGTCATAGTTACTTATCATTATTAAGATGATTAGAAATATGTGGTTGTAAGCTAGTAGATACTCTTTTTTTTTTTTAATGGCTAACTTGCTAGGTCAATATGCCAAGCAGTATAAATGAATACATTTTTCAAAAAAATTCCCACATGCAATAATCATTTCCTAATTGTAAGTTCAATTTCCTTTTCATCATTTCTGGCTGGTTTATCCATATATATTTTAAAAACTGTTAGCTTTCCTTGGTTTGCCTTCCTCAACTACTATGGGTGTTCAAGGGATACAAAATAAATTTTCTTATTAGGAAGATATTGAACAAAAAATATTTAATGCATTACAAAGTGAAATGCAAATCAAAATTTTGTGGGTTATCCATTGCTTCTACTCATGCATATTTATCAATACTACCTCAAGGATTTATATTATTTTAGAAATGCAATAAGAATACCGATGAACTAGTCTCCCATGAAGAGCCAAAGGTGTGGATTAGATAAGTTTCCAAAGTTACTCAACAGTTGGTGTCTTCTAATATTAGACAAGATAAGGCAGTTAATAGAATTCCTCCTCCCTACAGAGTCTACAGAATCAGCACCAGGGAGGGACAAAAACCTGAATGGCTCCTAGAGAGTTTTCCTCCTAAATTTATCTCTAGTTCTTCTTTTAGTTTCACACAGCTGGACTAGATGATCTGTATACTCTATACCTGGGGTTGATTCATAGTCTGTACTGAGTAAGTCATTTCATTAGAATAGGACAATAATGATGATGAAATGGTAGAACTGATGCCCGAATAAGTCAATGTCAGTCGTGCATAATTTCTTATCTATAGGATGCACTTACAAACTCCATCAATGGACTCTTTGTAAAAGTAAATAACGTAAGGAAACTAGGTGAAAGAGGATATGAATCATTTAACTATTACTACCGCAGGAAAGACAAGATATACATCTGAGTGATGCTAGGACAGTAGTAGTGCCTTTTCCTTAAATGAAGGACAAAGTTCTTATCACTTCTTTTTCCGGGAGGGGATTGTATTTTATGTATTGATACAATGATAAAACTGCCCATCTCTTAACCAGTGCACAGTATAGACATTGGGCATATCTCATTAATAAAAATTAATTTGATTTTTTGGTAACAAAGTTATTTCTGGGCAATGAAAATCACAGAAAGTTCTTATATATTTACCTCTTATATTTAGCCGAAAGGGAAATTTATACCACATGGACGGAAGGATCCTTTCAAACATAACCTTGAGGGGGCTTCCCTGGTGGCGCAGTGGTTGAGAATCTGCCTGCCAATGCAGGGGACACCGGTTCGAGCCCTGATCTGGGAAGATCCCACATGCCGTGGAGCAACTGGGCCCGTGAGCCACAGCTACTGAGTCTGTGCGTCTGGAGCCTGTGCTCCGCAACAAGAGAGGCCACGACAGTGAGAGGCCCGCGCACCGTGATGAAGAGTGGCCCCCGCTCGCCGCAACTAGAGAAAGCCCTCGCACAGATTTGAAGACCCAACACAGCCAAAAAAATAAATAAATTTATAAAACAAAACCCATAACCTTGTTATAACAAAATTCGTGACTAGCTATAATCTGAAACAACTATTTATATAAATGTCTTCACTGATCTTTCCTTCCAGAGCATCCGTACACAATGTAGGAAATATATTCCAAACTTAATGGAGACAACTTACCAAATTCATGCCTTCACTATTTTTCTACATAATTCTCATAAGCAATGTCTGAAAGTTTAAATAATTACAAGGCTACTCAAGAGAAGCCTAGGTTATTTTCTTCTTTGGGGGCGAGGGCTGTTATACATAAGTTTTTCCAGTAAAAAGGCAGGGTAATTTGTACAAGATTACTAACTACTATTAACGGTTGAAGATAGCTAGCCCATAAGATAAGGATTTCTCTCGGTGCCTCTCAAATTTGTCAAGACACTGAAACTGTGAACATTCAGAAAGGATACTGCCGCAGAATGAAAATGACAGGAGAACGACTTTCTATACATGATAACAAGTCAGCTCCACATCTGAGTTTCAGTCAGGTGCTTAGAAACAAAATGCTGTGATATATATAATACCAAGGCAGCTGGGCACAGCCCAGAGGAACTGAGAGTTAAGAATCAACACATGAGAGGCGTGCCTCCTCCACCATTTTTCCCCACCGCTACCCCATTTTTATTTCTGCCTTTCAAAAGAAGAGTACGCTTAGAAGTTTAAACTAGTCAATCACTTGACCCATCAGACTCACTGGAAACTGAGTTACAGCCAGGAGAAATGGAGAATGATGGCTTTAAACGCTTGCCGCAGACCCGAAGGTAATTTTTTTCCCATTTCCTTGATCACTTTTAAGATAACATTAGACATCATGAAACACTGTCCAGGAAGAATTTATCTTTTGTCATCTAAAACTAACAAATACTTTTACAGTTTAAGCCTAAGAGAAAACTCAGTGCTATTCCCTTCCGCAGACCCGAGGGATATAATACTGAAATCTGTAAGCTGAGACAGTTCTACAGCTCTCTAAGAAAATCACAACCGTGGTTGAGGGTGTGAAGTAAAGCTCATTTAAAAGTTTATTTCAACAAATTAAGTGCTGTTTTTTTCTTTTTGAAATTACATTTTCTCCCCTTTGGCAAATTAAGATCCACTTGCCTAGAAAACAAAACCTACAATTCTTACATTCCTCATTAGCATTATTTCTTCCTTTATCTTTGAGCTGTTTACGTATTCTTGCAACTGTGACATACAGGAATTTCACACCTAGTGAATATATTTTCATGTAGCTTGTGGCATGAGACTATAATCATTAAAAGAATATACACAAGTAAGGATAACTGCAACAGCTGGTGACATTTACCAATTAGAATTATAGTTCTTTAAAACACTTTATCCTTCCTTTGGTGTATGAAGGGTAATTATCTCTGATAAACTGCTGAAAAAGATGTAATTTTCCTTTTAAACAGTTTCTACTTACAGTACAAATGTGTTTGGATAGAAGACATTATCGCTGGTTCAGTGCTCCTTTGTGCAAAGACTCTGTTTTATGGCAGTAAGATCTACATATTTTGGAAGTCACTGCGTCTCACTCCATTATTACATGTTATCTTATTAGGAAATAAAGTTTAGTTAAAAAAGCAAAAAACTGAACACACTCAGTTAAGTTTTTGTTTGCTGGTGTGTAAATGAAAAGCATGCATGTGACTGCATCACCAGGTAGAATATTGCTACACATTCTGGTGCAAGTGGGTGTCTCCAACCTTATCAAAGGAGCAGCCTGTTAAACTTCAACAACTGTAGATCTGGATGAATTTTTATCAAGGATATTTTGTTCTGGAGAGCTACATTTAGAAATCTTCGCTATATTTGTAATTACAGTTTTCTTAATGAACGAGAAAATAACAATTAAAAACCACATAGCGAGCACATTATGTATTAAATACCACTAAGAGAGAGTAAATGTTGTTTTTCATTCTCCCATTTAAAACTTTGAGATCACGCAGCGTAGAGAATGGGATTGAGGACATGGGGTCGGGGGAAGGGTAGGCTGGGACGAAGTGAGAGAGTGGCATGGACATATATACACTACCAAATGGAAAACAGATAGCTAGTGGGAAGCAGCCACATAGCACAGGGAGATCAGCTCAGTGCTTTGTGACCACCTAGAGGGGTGGGATAAGGAGGATGGGAGGTAGACACGAGAGGGAGGGGATATGGGGATATATGTATATGTATAGCTGGTTCACTTTGTTATAAAGCAGAAACTAACACACCATTGTAAAACAGTTATACTCCAATAAAGATGTTAAAAAAAAAACACAAAAAACTTTGAGATCCTCAGTTCATTAAGCACTAACTTCTCCATCTTGTTTCTTAGGGTAGTCATCTCTAAATCAAAATAAGCCTTCCTGGATTGCTTCTAATTCGATTCAGAAAAGAACAGAATTTGGCTAACGAAGTTATAGTAAAAGGATACAAATATCTAAAAACATTCCCCCACGAGCATAAAGAAATCAAATATGGACGGGAATGGAGTATGGTAAGGTGAGCTCCTCTGACTTTGGCTGCATAATAGAATACACCAGCGAGGGAATGAGTTTAAGTAAGGATGCAGACTCCAGCACATTTTTTTCGAGCGCTAATCACTGGTTAACCCAGTGAGATGAAAATGCCGTTTAAAAAAAAAGAAAAGCAAAAAATTCCTTGTTAATTACACACTGCAAATGCTCTTACTTCCTGCTGCTACACCTAATCCCACAGGTGCAAGTCTTCACTTTCCCCATTCATGGGTGGGTGGGTGCAATGCTGCAGACATTTTTCACAGCTACAGATTTAGATACAGAAGAAGCCCGTTTAACCTTCCACAGGAGGTTAACAATACACTATGCAAACACTGTCATGGTGTCTATTTAACAAGGAGACAAATTTTTTTTTTTTTTTTTCCTGCGGTACACGGGCCTCTCACTGTTGTGGCCTCTCCCATTGCGGAGCACAGGCTCCGGACGCGCAGGCTCAGCGGCCATGGCTCATGGGCCCAGCCGCTCCGCGGCATGTGGGAATCTTCCCGAACCGGGGCACGAACCCGTGTCCCCTGCATCGGCAGGCGGACTCTCAACCACTGCGCCACCAGGGAAGCCCTCCCACTAGGTTTTAGTCACTGATCCTAGTTCTATCCTCTTGATTGATACAGACTGAGGCTTCTTTAAATGGGAACTCCATGTATTAAACATGACTCTCTTGTCTCTCAGCGTTTTCCTCTCTCAAGGATAATATTCCAATTTCCCTTTTTTTCTTTA